GGAACAAGTAGAACAAGTAGTATCATAATGCAATGCACATTTTTTAAAAAGATTTATTTATTCATAGAGAACTGGGGTACAGGCCTGAGATGCGGAGGGTGAGAGGATTCACCAGAGACAGAGCGGGGAGCAGAACAGGCAGATCTACGAAGTATACCGCTGAGGGGAGCGGTGGGTGGGCCAGGAGAGGTCTGCTGTGCCATGTGGATCTCCTCTGGGGCAGGCAGGGATCGAACTCATGAGGAAGTGGCTTAAGCTTCTTAGTACAGCGCTTCAACCCGCTGCGCCACCAGGGAGGGCCGCAATGCACATATTTTAAGGATGCATGGATAGATAGGTGGATAGAGATTTTTATGTGTGGTTAGTGGGTTAGGGTCAAAAACCAAACAATACTGACCCAGGAGCAAGTGTACTTCTGTTTCTCCCATCTGCAGAAGGAAGCTAATGGAGCTTGCTTTCTCCTAGCCTGTGATCAGGCCAGGACGATGAATGACTAAGGTAGGTAACTATGGTGGTTATGCCATGGTGGTGCTATCACCCTTTTTGATGTATGTGTGACCCATTTGCAGGCAAAATGCAACAAAGCACAACTTTGGCTTTGTTAGTTTACATGGTTGAAGAACATTATATTTGAAATCAGACAAAGCCTGTCTTCTTCCTGCACATTTTCTCAGAATTCAGACTCCAGAGAGAGCACCCTCCTAATGATTATCAGCGCTTGTCTGCCCATATATGTGCACATAAACACACACATACATGAAATTCTGCAGGTCACAGAGACCCCCCCAGGTTTCCCAGGAGTTTTGCTATGAATGGTTGTGGAGGAGAGTCAAAGAATGTGTTGCCTGCAGCAAGGACTTCTGGATCAAGTTAGTTTTGAAAAATAGAGATGACTTTGATTAAAGCTTTCTCCCCACTGCTTCTTAATCCATACAGTTAGAAGATACAAGTACAGATAGCTTTGCAAGCCATCATAGCAAGCCCAAGAGGCAGGAACCGTTAGCCCATTTCATAGATGAGGAGACTGACACTCAGAAAAGTTAAACACATTCCCTGAATGTGCACAACTAACGAGCACTGTGCTCTAAACCTCTCATTCTCACTGCAGACCTATGCTCCTGCATAGGTCTCACCTGTGCTCATCCAAGGCTCACAAAGCCTTGGAACACCTCATTAATCACCCAAGCAACTCTTCCAAACTGGTGTCTTCAACTAGGAAATGGGATCTTGCTCTTTTAATAAAGAAGTGGCCTTTTGTTGTGAAGGGAGTATTGACTTTAGAGTTCAGAGTTTAGAGTCAGAATTCACTGGAATCCTCATCATACCTTTCAAATAACTGCCATGTAATCACAAGCAAACTGTTTTTGTCTCTGTTTCCTTGCCTGGGAAGTGGATGTAATGGTAATTTCATAGGTTAATTCTGAGGATGACCTAAGATAATGTTACCACATAACAAAGTCTAGGGGTACCTAGACTAATATGTCAACAGTGGTCATCCCTAGTTAATATCACTTTTCCCTCTTTTGTCCATCTTTGTTCAGTAGTCTGTTGATAAATCTTCAGTAACTGGTTTTCCAAAAGAAAAGACCTGATTTGTAGTGGTTGTGCATTTCTGTGGTGTAAATAATACTTCCATGATGGCTGATCTCAAACAACCACTGTGACATCACTGAAGATGGATCTGGGGAGATGTTTGCATTGTTAGCTCTGGCAAGCTGGGGCAGGTGTACACCAGTGTTTTTATTTTTAACCACATGGTGTTTTATTTGGGTAGTAAATTCAGAGAGAGAATTAATTAATAGATCTAGCACCATGCCAAACATGATAGTTGTCATCTTTCTCTGTCCTTCCTCCTAAGCCTTTATTAATCTAGTCAAATAGTACACTAACCATGGACTCCTATGGACACAAAGTGGTGGATTTCAAGAAGCCAAGTGTCTTTTCTTACCAGGCACTGTTTAGAACCTGGGCAGCCTATAAAGAGATTCTAATATCTGCCTGCCAAGGAATTATCAAGCAGGCAAACAGGTCCTGTCACTGACCCCACGAGACACTGACCACACTCTGAACAGACATGTGTAAGGTTGAAGCTGCCCTCGAGAAAACCAAGGAAAGTCCCAAATGGTGGAGGGCCTGCGATGGAAAACACCCTTGAGTGGCCTGTCTCTGATTCAGTGATGTAAGAGATGTGTGTGTGTTTGTATGTGTGTGTGTGTTGTGTGTAGTAAAGGTAGGTGACTCTACAGATATCTGAAGGAATCCAGAATTGGATCAGCTGCAGCCCTGACAGGCCTCAGATGAGTGGTCCTCCAACGTGTCCCACAAAGATTCAGGCATAGTCCCCAACTCTACTATGTCTCACCTCAGCCTTCCATTTGCATCCTTTATGATGCACATTGTTGCTTTAAGAAATTTTAATTAATGGAAACTTGTATGCCATTATAGCTTGAACTATTGGAGAAGAGATACGAGGCACCTCAGTAAGAGTTTGCTGAGTGATAAGGGAGTCTGAGGCTTCACCTGTTCCTGGGTTCACCTGTTCCTGGATATAAAATGTGACTAAACCTAAATGAGGCAGTAAATGTTCATAAAGGTTGCCAGTGGTTTTGTTTGTTTCTTCTCATTTTCCTGTGTTTTTCAAATGTATCTTCAAAGAACATGGATCTCTTTTGTTATTTTAAGAGTGAATATTTACCATAAATATTTTTATACTTTATACTTCAGTAAAAAAGAAATATTTTCATAAATAAAAAGTAAAACAAGCTTGGTGTTGGCAATTAAGGACCAGGAAGCATGCTCTCTGTGCTAGGAAGCTCTGGGCCCGAGGTTCCCAGACATTTTAGATCAGCCCAACTTGGTTTCCTTACAGTTCAAGACTCTCATCATGGCTCTGTTCTCTCTCAGCCTCGTTCCACAGGCTTCCCCACCTACAGGCACTGAGTAATAACACTCTTCTCCAGTAACAAGTGTTAGTCAGATGTGGAAATAGACACAGGTCTTAGAGAAGGAAATAACAGGCCCCACCCAAGACACCAGTAAGTTAGAACTTACAGGATTAGTCTTCCTATTCCAGCCACAGGTCCCCAGGGCAGCAAGGCCTCACATCTGACCAAGGTGTCAATTCAGTTTCCCTCTAAGCAGCAGGGCTGCTTTCAGTAAAGAGACCAAGCCAAGGTGCCTCCGTTAAATATTTTTTGAGTTATAACAGAGCTGTCTCCACATCACGAGGAACCAGCTCTTCTCTGTGGCCAGGACTGTAGCTGAAGTTTTCTAGAGGCATAGGTTAAAAGTGTGGGAGTGCAAAAGTTTGAGAAGTTTGTGGCTTTCGAGTGATTTAATACTTTGAAGTCCTTTGTCAAACCTGTCAACAGTTATGACCACCCTCCTCTCAGAGCCAAAGTGATTCTAGAGTCAACTGAGAAATGTCAAGCTGAGGTGACCCCAACACTCTGCCTCCACCCCAGGGTGAACCAGGAGATGTGACCACCAGTTTCTTTAGAACTAATTTTTTTTTTACTGGTAACTTAATGAGATATAATTCAGGTAGTATATAATTACCCACTTAAACTGTACAACTCAGTCATTTGTAATATATTCGTAGGATCACTGCTGTCAATTGGAGAACATTTCCATCACTTTGAAAAGAAACCCTGTACCCTTTAACAGCCATCCCCCAGTTCACTCTAGCTCTCTTGCCCCAGTCCAAGCACTAATCTAATTTTTGGCTCTATATTGTCCTTCAGGGTATTTCATATAAATGAAATGATTCAATATATAGACTTTTTGTGCCTGGTTCTTTCATTTGGCGTGATGTTTTCATTGTTTACCCATGTTGTGACTCAGATCAATACATAATTCCTTTTCATGACTGGATAGTATTTCACATTTGTTTATCCATTCAGCAGTTGATAATGTTTGGGTTGTTTAGACTTTTTTGGCTCTTATGACTAATGCTACTATAGACGTGAATGTACTAGTTTTTGTGTGGACCTACATGTTTATGTCTCTTAGGCCACATCACTGTGTATAGCTGATTCTGTCACTTATTTGCTTAAAAATCCTTAGTAGCTTTCCATATTATTAAAGTCACATTCAAAATGCTTTCCTTGGTTCAAGACTTAAACGTTCCTCTTATTCTTCTGATCTAGTCAAGACGTTTCTCTGACACAGACCTGGAAATTTCCCAGACCCTTTATTTCTTTAACCCCATTCTCCTGAGAGCCCAGCTGACTGTCCTCGCCCAGGGAAGTCTCTCCAACACCAAGTTAGGTCTACCTGCCACACTCTCAAGAAACCATGTACATCTTCTGCACATACTAGCTACCGTCAAATGACTTGTGTGATTACAAAGCTACAATGTTGTCTCTTCTTGCTACCATAAGCTGCAAGAGAACAGAACCCTCCTCTTGCCCAGAAGGTATCCTCAGGCACCCAGTATGGCACAATGGGGCATGAAGAATGGATAATGATGTCAGCAAACAAACCACTTGCCTAGAACCTTCCTTTTGTCTCAGGGTCTCCTTCAGATAATATGTGCCTCAAGAGGCACACAGGGAACTGCTGTGGTCAGGAAAATTCTCCTCTCTCCCCCCTTACTCCTTTCTCACCTGGAAAAAAAAAAAACAGTTTAAATCAGAAATTACTCAAAGGAACTCCCCCCATCCTAAGATAACTGGAACCCCATTGCTTCCCACTAATACTTGGGATCTTAGGGTAGGATGATTCCCCCACAGCCTATGTCTCAGGCCAGTCCCCAGCACCGCTGACTAAACCAACAGAGGTAGCAGACCATTTCCTATGGTGGAGTGAGGTAGGAAGCAATTGCTTCTCTGAGAGTTGGGGAGCTGCTTTATGACAGACTGAGTTCCCATTAGTAAAGATAGTGTCTTTGTGCATGTCTTGTTTGAGAAACTGTCCTTGAGGAAATTCCAAGAGGAAACTGTACACCTTCTGAGACTTAATTGCTTTTTCAAAGAAACCTATTTTCATCTCCCCCACAGATATGCACTTATTTGGCCATTATCCAGCACATGACGACTTCTATCTCGTAGTGTGCAGTGCCTGTAATCAGGTCGTCAAGCCACAGGTTTTCCAGTCGCACTGCGGTAAGTGGACTCCTGCACCCGCCCGGCACATTGGCAGCTGCCACTCCCAGGAGAATGGCCTCCTCTTTGACTCCCCCAACGCGGAATGCTGGCCTTGTGTCTAGCTTAGCCCAAGGCTGTGGGTAGATTGTTCCTGGGGCTCTGCCTCTGCGAATAGTGTAACTATTTTAAGAGCGAATGTAGTCCTTCTACTGAAACGCTCAGCTCTGTCAGGACAAATGAGAGAAAACCTGCAAGCTGTTTAGGTAGATGGTACTAGAGTGAAAAACTATCAACCATCCTTTCCATTGGCAAAGACAGGGGAGAGCAGTGGCTTGAAGAATCGCTCCTGCAGCCTGACTTTTGTCCCCTGAGACAGAGGGCCAGACAGAGACTCCCCATATTGGCACAAAGGAAGGAGTGGAGCCAAGGGTTGCCCAGTGTGGGGACTGCTGGGTTATCCTGCCCCCTGAAATGCCTTGTAGTCAAACTTCAGGTACAGCTCTTCTTTTCCTTGTTTTAAAAAAAAAAATCCAGGTGTGTTTAGAAATTGGCTTCCCCAGTATCTTTGCATCTTTGGTACAATTAATTCCCTCACCTTGGTCAATAGCAAACCCTGGACTCCCCTTAGTGTAGGTGCCACGAACATACAACAGCGTCCACATGACCGTTCCTCTCGGCAGTGAATAAACAGCTATTTGACCTTAAGGAAACACTTAACCTCTCGGGATGGAAGTTCCCTTATCTTTAAAGGGGGCATTGGACCAGGTGATTTCCTAAGTTCCAGCATGCTGAGTTCCAGAACAGTATTTCCCAGTCTTTTTATTTAAGCCATATTCTTTTTTGATGAACCTTAAACTTTAAAGCACATTAAATATTTTGCCTAAGCAAAAATTCTAAGTAGTAACAACATGAGTATGCTCTTACCAATTGCACATTTATCCTTTCTCACACTTAGAATGTTTAACTTCCCCCACCCCTTCAGTATCACTACTATGTAATAAATGAGCACAAAATAAAGGGAGCTGAGCTTATCTAAGCTTTTCGGTAAATATAAATAGGACCACAGAATAGTTTATATTCATCATAGTATCTCTGAATATGTGTCTATGTGCATATTGTCTGTATGTATCTAGGTATGTGTATAAAATCTGATGTTGTAGGTGTGATGTATTTATAATATGTAGAAGAATCCAGATGCCCAGCAGGTTCGAGGTGCCTCTTCCAGACTATGACCTACACAAGCAGAGAGAACCCTGGAAAGTATTGTCCAGAAACTCTGCATAGAGGCCAAGTATTTTGCTCTCCTGCACAATGCTGAGGCCTTGGGCTACTTGCTTAATGTCTCAGTGCTTTGGTTTCCTCATCTCTTCCATGAGACAGTGACGTCCATGGGAACTTGCAACTCTCTTGTTTCTGGCAGAGTGTGCATGAAAGGAGCATGCTCCACAGCAGCTGACCTTCATCCTCTGTGCTCGCTACCCTCCCTTCCAGAGCAAGTGAGAAAAGATCAAACTTCTCCAAAGGGAAACTGAGGCCCAGTGGGCACTGTCAGCTGTGGCAGTAGGTGGGCATCAACAACCAGGCATTGGCAAGACCCCATCTAGCTGGTTGTTCAGTAGATGGCCATGGATGCTCTGTGGGCCATTGTTTCTGTCATATGTCATGAAAATACAGAGGTTGGTCACCCTGAATATGACAGTCATTCATTCACTCACTCACAGGAATGTGCTGCTGTTCTGGACAATGAGAGACAGCAGTGAATCAGACAGAAAAGAATTGTGGGAGCCATCAAAACCTTTATGGAAAATTCATTCATTGGCAGTCTTAGATGGAAAGAGCCTAAAAGGGACTCGAGACCCCACTGACCCGCAGAATTCTGCCCATGGCAAGGCCCCAGCCAGCCAGCGGAGGAAGCCTCCAGGGTTTGCCTCCTTCTGCTCTAGGCTTTTTGGTGCAAGAGCCAAGTCGAGCCAAAGGTTTCTGTGACCATCTGCTGTGAGCAGTGGCAATAAATTAATTTGGGTGTTTGGGGTTACGGACTTCATTATTCACAGCCCCACTGAGCTTCTTGCTGAACCAGCTAAGGAGCAATGATGAGGACACAACCACAACCCAGTAGGTTGGGGCCCACAGACCCCGCATCTTTTAGGTGTGTTTTCATTGGTGCTAGCCCATCTTTATCAAGGCTAGGAAAATACGAGGCAAGCTCAGAATCTCAGCAACTCCTTTGGAGAGGAGGAAGATTTCTCAGTTTCCCTAAGAATTCCTCCTACAGTTTCTTGCTGTGTCTTTGCTGTATTACCTCCTATGACTAGTTTTACTATTTTCAACAAGTTAGTAGGAACATTGTGTGCTAAGTGCCAGACACTGTATCTTTTGTATGTTGAGCTCAACAGTTCTACGAGATTTGATGGCCATTTTGAACATGAAGAAGATAAAACTGAGGCCTCTCTAGAGGTGCAGGGTTCAAGGCCTCAGTGGTATCAGGCTATCGCCAGCTACTATGGTATCAGTTCGTGAATTTGATGCCCAGACAGGGAGCTAGCCCACATGTCACAGCAGACCTCTCCTGTCTCGCCCACTGCTCCCCTTAGCAGCATATTTCAGTAGGTCACCTCTTCTGTTCCCCACTTGTTCTCTGATGAACCCTCTCACTCTCCTTCATACAGACTCTGGCCTACACCCAGCTCTTGTGTGTGTGTGTGTGTGTGTGTGTGTGTGTGTGTGTGTGTAAATAAATAAATATATCTGGGGGCGGGGGGAAGAAGCTAAAACAGAGGCGGGGGAAGAAGCTTATCCAGGGTCACAAAGCTAAGCATGTATAGTAGTCCTGATTTTGAACGCAGGTCAATTCACTCCAGAGTGAGGAAAGTGCTTGCTTAGCCACAGTCCTTACTGCCTCTCTGCATGGGTCATATGCTTTTTCTGCCCTGCCCAAACTCCAAGGCCTGACTCATTCACTCATCACATAGTATGTGTAGTGCAGGGCTTCAGACTTTTGTTAGCAGTAGAACTTTTATTGCAATGGAATATCATTTTGAAACCCAGCTATAAATATACAACCTTGTGCTACATACTGACATTTTGTTCAGCCACATATGCACATATACAGACCACATATACAAAAGTAGTCTCTATATAAACCTGGGTGGGTATTAGGCTTTACTATCTAGGATTGTATACCCTGTGACATCTGAACAATGACTAAATCACCTAACACATTTCTCAGAAAGTATCACCATTGTTAAAGCATATGCGACTGTATATTCCAAGCACAACTACTACAGTGAAACTTGGGTAGGGGCTCAAACCCCACTTGCCTGATCTACTCCTGACCTCGCCCTACCTCCCATCAGCCAGGGCACCATTGAACAGCATTTGAAGTTTGTTGTAGTGACGACAACACACTCTGGATGCAGCAAAGCAGCTCACCTGACCTACCCGCTGACATGCCACCTTTGGAAGGTTGGAAGGCCACCTCCTTTCTACCTCATCTGTAAACAGGCACTCCTCCTGATGCATGGGATCGTTGGTGCTGTGACTTGTGAGGAACCTTCCTATGTATATACCCAAGGCATGGATTCCCTTCTGTTCCCTTTTCCCCATGACATCTTCCTTCATTGCCCCAACTGGAAGGAATGCATCATCTTGCAATCACTAGAACTCTCTTCTCTCTTCTATTGGGCTATTTCCTATCTTCTGCCATGCACTGAAATAGTCTATGAACTATCTCTGTATTGCCCACCAGCCCGTACATCTAGAGTCAAATCCCAGCACAACCTCTGCTCAATCCTGAGACCCTGCATCAACTTGTTTAATAACAGGAAACTGAAATGGATTTTCTCCAGAAAACTTGCTTATTCTCAGCACCTGTGCTTTGGCTGCTAGATTTTAAGGATCATGCTATATGTCCATAATGGAAACGTCAGATTTCAAAATCTCATGTCCTAGTTGAGGGGTGTGTGTGTGTGTGTGTGTGTGTGTATGTGTGTGTGTGTGTGTGTGTGTGTGTGTAGGCATTTGGTTCTGGGGAGTTTGGAAGTTGGTGATAATTAAAAATTGAAAGTCATAGTGAAAAGTCATGAATTTTGGAGTCAGACAAACCCAAGATTCTTGACTAACATTCACTAGCTGTGTGACTTTGCCCTTATTAAATAACCTTCTTGAGTCTCACTTTCCTTATCTAAAATAAGAGTGATCATTCATGCCTTGCAGTTGCTATGAGGAATAGAGATAAAGTGTGTAGAATTTCCTGGGAAGAAAATAAAGAGTAGCTATTATTGTGAAAAAGTGTGGTTAATTTTTATTAAATTGGATGTTTTTTATGAAAAATGAGAAAACCAATTCAGTCAAGTGTTTCCTGTCTTCATTGCTTGCCCTGTCTCAGGAGATGCGCACACTGAGGCCATCTACAGACTTTGGCCTATGATTTGTCTTCAGCGTCCCACACTCTTGGAGGCAAGAATTACCCACCTCAAGATGATTATGTAGCCAGGAGTCCTAGAGCTTTGGCTTGTAAATATTGCTTATTCACATTAGGCCCCACCTCAGCTCCTTGGAAATGCCATGGAGTGCCCAGTACCTTTCTGGGTTTCCCACCAAGGTTCACTGGCCTTGGCCGCCTCACTGTAGAGGAGTCACGTCACTTCAGGACTGTCTGAATTCCTTTTGCTCCTGACTGTGCCCCAAGCTGGCATCCAAGCTGTAAAAAGTAGATGCCCCCACTGCCCAGGAGCCCCTCTACCTGGCATGATGCAGAAGCCCTCCAGGAACCCCCTCTGTGCCATGCAGTGTTGGTTTCCTTGAGTCTGCTTTCCAAGGCTGTGCAGAGAGGCCCTTTAGATACTTTTTAAAATTCTACCCAGGAAATTTAGGATTCTGAAGGGTTGTCTTTTTTGTAAAGTTCTGTAGTTCAATCATGAAGAAAATCAGGAATAGTTGGAAAGGGAGAAACAGAAATGAAAAGCCTTACCTCGGGAATCCTGGTATCACTCAGCGAACATCCCTATTCTGTATAG